ACTGTCGGATAAATTAGGTTGATGCATAATTATTGCGGCTTTTTTCGCGCGTTCTTTTCTCGAGAAGATTGGCGTTTGAGTTTCTGTTTTTTTCATGAGAATATTCTTCTTTCTTCCATTAACAGAAATGCTTATCGGAAATTGTCCTCATCTTCACCACACATGCTTACTTACTTCTATAAATGTTAGAAGGCGGCGGGGCCATTCCGCGATCTCATCAAACTTCTCAGCGAGGGAGCAATTAGCAAAACCCAAGACGAAGGATCGTTCAAGAAGTTTAAAACGCCACATCTACCGAGCGGAGCTCCTACAGACTAGCAATTCAATCAGACGTTGAAAAACTGGCAAACGAACAAATTTTAGGATGAGCTGGATGCGTTGGTGGCCAGTGTTAGAGCGTGGATCGTCTCCGAGAATCGTGACTTTTTTATCCGTGGAATCACCGAGAGAAAAGCAAATGGGAAGCATTCTTGTGGGATGGTGACCACGCTCCGGGGTTATTATTTAAACATGTTTTTGTTGAATAATTTTGTCGTTTTCGCTGAATAAAATCTGTTGGAAAAAGCCGCAATAATTATGCATCAACCCAATACTCTTGGAAAGGTTTAATGTCACAAACAGTTACCGAAAAATGGGCACTGAAACAGAATCCTCCATCTAGGATTAAGAGTTCTTTCTTCCTTTGCTACATATTCAAATGGTCAGTTCTAAGCATTTGCCGTGCCAACAAAACAGATTTCACCTTAAACACCGGCATTCCTAAATACTCTAACTTATTTATTATTCCATTTTCACTTCTGCATCGGGGTTGACAAAATTAGCTAAGCGTCCGAAAAAGGCTCAGGCCCGGTATTTATCAAACAGATCTGAGCTTAGACGCAAAAGACTTTTGCACTCCCACTTTTGCAATTCCCTCTTGGACATAGAAATTTTAGATCTTTTGCAATAAACTATTTGGAATGGTAGGCTTGCTTATGCTACCGTATTGTATAATCATTGCGATCTTTTGCATTACTGTAAGAGACCTCAATACCCAGCTCTATTACATGTATAACAGGTTTACTTCGCCTAGCTATCAGGCAGCGCAATTGATCAGGGATAAGGAAGAAAGGAACCAACCGGAATAAGCGAGCGAAATAGTGACCTGCTGTCGATACAGTCACAACCAATACACCTGATTGCATGTGTTATTAATTGAATGTGTTATCCCTCCTTATATCCCTCTCTCTGGCGCATAGCCGCCCCATGTTTTCCCTCTCTTTCCCCTCTCACCCACTCCCCCTCCTCTCTACCCCCTCCCCTTTTGTTCCCCCCTCGCCTCTACTGCCGGCTGGCTCCGGCTCCCACGGCGGCACCATCCTACTATATATAAGCGGCTAGCGTGTGTCTGTTGTGTGTGTGTGTTTGACCGGAAATTCATAGCTCGAGTCACAGTAACGATAGCGCAGTGGTTCTTACATATGTTATAGGGGGTGGGATGGGGACACAAGTGGTACGTGATAGGAACTGATAACGACTGATAATAGCTGATAAGAGGGGCTAGAAAGCGAGCATCGCCAATTTCGTTTTGTCGTTCATATTGGTACTAGAGCGTCTATACTTACAAGTGTTATGTGGGGTGGTCCCGGGACATTGGTGGTACATGATTGGAAGCGATAGCAACTGATAAGGGCTGATAAGAGAACGCAAAAGTCGTCGATTCCGTTACCTGGCTCGCGTTGACACCAGAGCAACCATACTTACAAGTGTTATGTGGGGTGGGACGGGGACATTGTTGGTGGGTGATAGAAAGTGATAACATTGATAAGGGCTGATAAGGCGCGTCAGAACGCAAAAGTCGTCGATTCCGTTACCTGGCTCGCGTTGACACCAGAGCAACCATACTTACAAGTGTTATGTGGGGTGGGACGGGGACATTGTTGGTGGGTGCCAGAAACTGATAACGATTGATAAGGGCCGATACGCGCAAAAGTCGATTCCGTTGCCTGGCTCGCGTTGACACCAGAGCAACCATACTTACAAGTGTTATGTGGGGTGGGACGGGGACATTGTTGGTGGGTGCCAGAAACTGATAACGATTGATAAGGGCCGATAAGGCGCGTCAGAACGCAAAGTCGTCGATTCCGTTGCCTGGCTCGCGTTGACACCAGAGCAACCATACTTACAAGTGTTATGTGGGGTGGGACGGGGACATTGTTGGTGGGTGCCAGAAACTGATAAGGGCTGATAAGGCGCGTCAGAACGCAAAAGTCGTCAATTCCGTTACGCAGCGTTGACACTAGAGCGTTCCTACTTACAAATTGTAGTAAGTCGTAGTAGTACAAACAAAGGTACGTGCACATTATTTCGATATATATCCAGCTTACTTAATAGCAGTCGATTGCATAAATTCAATCAAGTCTTCAGCAAATGATAAGTTTCATTTCTATCAAGAAAGCCCAAACTCATTAAACCGCTAATCCTTTCGGGGTTCTAAATAATGGTGAATGTAAATAAATGATAAGCCTTAGCTCTCACTTATGTAAATAGGCATATTTCGTTTTGATTTTGAGACTGACAGCAATCCTATTCACCGCTAAATTATCTTAATTCAAGAAAAATGCTGGATGTTTACAGTTGTGATCAATATACCAGTTCAGCTCAGACGTTATCACGCGTATTCTCGATGAGCTTCAGTGAAACTGTGGAGGGTCTAACACAGTCAATAGTGAGATGGTTAATGGAGTATCTCATGCTGATATTCCATGGGTCCTCCAATTTCGCTAAAGCCTGCCGTGTGATGCGCGCGATAGCGGGCGAAGCAAAACTGGTACAGAATGAGGCTGAGTGCTCGTTCGGTGTTTTTGTAGCCATTGTGGGTGTTATCACAATCACCACATCAGGTTAGAATAATACGTCAACATGAATATAGACCTTACTCTTGAAAACGGTCGTTCTCTCTCAGTCTCTCCTCCCCCACCTCCCCCTCCTTATACCCTCCTCTCCGGCGCATGACAGCGCCATGTTCTCCCTCCCTTTTCTTTCTCCCCCTTCCCTCCCAGCTTCCCCTTTCTTGCCCCTTCCCTCTACCCCTCCCCACCCTCCCCCCCCCGCTCATCCGGCTGCCACGGCAGCACCATGTAGAATGAGACTGAGTGTGCTCGATCGGTGTTTATATAGCCGCTGTGGGTGTTATCATCATGACATCAACAACATCACGAAGTGTTGCCCTTCGTGCGAGGGCGTGTTCTCACGCTCGGCTCGCGCATATAGAGTACGGACAGCCGAACAGACACATAAGCACACACACTCAATCGGTGCAGGAAGCCGACACACTCAAACGTTGATACTGGGGTTGCATCGCTCGACGCGCACTCACTAACGAAACTTTGGTGAGACTCGCAGGTGGTTGAGTCAAGATTTTGGACGGAGGGGGTGGTTTGCTTTACCTACCTTCACTCAGCCAAAAAATAGTACCAATTCTCCCCCTTCGGCCGTAGAGGTAAAAGTTGTCCATCTGACTTCACTCAGGGGGTCAGTGGTCGGAGCATTGCTTACGGGGTATCCCGTAGTGCCCTACTACAGAATCACTCTCGCCTAAGTAGTCTGTCTGTGTGTGTCTGTGTGGTAGATACCACGGGTTCTGTTCAGGCGAGAGTCCTTGCGGAATGCAGCGGCTGTGTAGAATAGTGAGTGGTGGAAGAAACACTGTATTTATAGAAGTGTTTTGTAGGGCGGTGAACAAATGGGACGAGGAACAGAGCATACTTGGTGTGCGTTTGAGTAAAACTGGGGTACCAATTGATAGATGATGGACAGGAGAGGATTGACGGGTGAAACGCAAATCTGCGCGACTCGAAATTGGCATAAAGAAACGCGCTCCACGCGCAAAGTGGAGAAGCGGTGGGTGCTCAAGGATAGTGCCTAACAGGCGTTGGCGACACACATCGCGTTGCGGTTTGACAGGGTCACACGGAATGGGCTCTGACGGCTGTGCCGGTGGTACCTACACAGCGGTCATCGTCAGGGGCCGCCCGGTTGTCGCGGCCAAGCATATTGGTTGGATGTACTTCCAAACAGTGGGGTGTCGTGAGAAGAACTGCAGTGTTACCTTCGAGCTATCATCTCATGGCGTGTGTGCTCATGCAACATAAACATAGCCGACGTTCGACCGTTACTGAGATTCTCCAAAGGTGCGTGCTTAGGTAGTTTTTATAAAAGCGGTTCATATTTGGTAAGAAGTGGGTGACAACGGAGTAAGGGGCGGATAAAGGGATTGCTGATCGCCGTTTGTATGTCTGTACTCTGTGATGTATATATGCACGTGTACTCGCTCACTGTATGTATGTATGTATTGTATGTAAAAGTCCGTTCCGAGTCCAGTTTTTACGCCAGCCTGCTTGTGGGCCGACTGTGGTGTCCTACCGCCAAAATGGAAGTGGTGCCTTCCATGACTTTTCCGGGCAGGTGTAGTGAGTGAGGGCATTTTTTAACGGAGATAAACAGTCGCGCGCGCGAACAAATCATTCGTGTGGTAGTGTATGTGGAGTAAAAGCTCGCGGGGTACCAGCGTGATAAAGCTGAGAAGGGGGAGGCCCACTCTGTTGCGGCAAAACGGCAAAAGCCGGCAGTGTCAATGTTTCTCAGTCCCCGATAGCTATGATTTGTGACGCGCCACAAAAACGGCGGTGCAAGAACGGCTACGGTATAAAGCACGCACTTAGGGCACACTCTCACGACAGGGTCATATTCCACAACTTCCATGACGCGCAGGGGTTGGAGGTGGGTGCCTGTATGTGGGGGGGAGCCGGCGGGGGGACAGTTTGTGTGAGCAGGTAGGTGTGGTTTAGAACGTGAGTGGAGGGGTCACAGCGAGAGACGGAGAAGAGGGGCCGGCAAAAAACGCCAATAAAGGTGGT